ACATATCATGTTGAGTGTATAAATCATTGATAATATTATTGATATGATGTTATGAGGATAACCCTTTGCCTTTGTGGTCTTCATTCTAATAGCCTATAACTCCAGTTTCACCATGAGGAAAACGTAAAACTAACTTCAATATTGGGAAAATCTGTAAAATACCTGGCCAGAACTCAAAACCTTCAAGGTCACCAAAAACAAGGAAGGCCTGAGGAACTGTCACAGCCAAGAGGAACCTCAAAATATAAGACAGCAAAATGTACTGTGATATCTTGGATGGGATACTAGAATAGTGAAAGCATGTCAGGTAATATCTAAGGAAATTTACATAAACTACTTAGGTGAACAGTTTTTTTCACAACCCCTCTGTGAGATTATTTCATACATTTATAATGCAGTTAGATTGTTGTGTCAGAGTCTGAATTATTCCTGAGATTTCCTGGATTTCCTAAATGATATTCTAAATTTGCACGCAACTGGGTAGACTCTTCGTACTGTAAAATTCTGTACATTTTGACAAATCTACCATTAAAGTATTATGCAGAATAATTACTATTCTAAAAGTCCCCTGTGCTTCTTCTCTGCAGTCTTGATTCTCTGGCAGCCACTGATAATTCTTCTATAGTTTTGTCTTTTATAGGATGTTATAAAATTGGAATCATACAATATGTAGCCTTTTTGGACGAGTTTCTTTCACATAGCAATATTTATTTAAGGTTCCTCCATGTGCTTTTGTGACTTGATGGTTCATTTCTTTTTATAACTGAATAATATTCCACTATATAGATGTACCACAATTTGCTTAAACACTCACTCTAACTTTTCTTGTCCATTTGAATTTCAGTATTTGATATTGTGAGACCACAAATTATAATTTTTGAAAATCATCAATGATGAAAAAGAAAGCATACAATTCTCTAGAAAATCTCATTTGCCTAAGAGAAGTATCTAACAAAAGAAGCCACAGTTAATTCTGCTGTGTGATGTAGGAAACCCTGGGTAACCTTCACGGAGTAGTGACGATTTTACTGTAAACTGATGAGATTATTTCACTTATGAAGAAGCAAAAGGATACCTTTTTCTCACACTAATAATTAGGTAGGCACTTTACAAAATGCCGCTGCAAGGATATTAACTTGCACAGTGAAGATCAAAGTTTTCAATGTTTCTACACACATAGAATTTTAAGAGTATGTGATTACTTCCTAATGATTAACATCAACCTTCTCTGACCTATTAAGCAAATTCAGTTAGTTCTTATTTAATCTCTATTTGTTCTTCATTCTTTTAGGTATATTAGAAAGTACTTTTTAAAATAACTCCATTCAAATCAATTACTTAACAATTGTTAATGGTTTTTAGAAGACTGGATGCTACCCTAAATTCTTTAACATTGTTCTAGTAACTCTAAAGTAGTTTTGTCCAACCACATTTTATTTACATGTTGTGATCATACTTTAAATGTAGATAAAAACAGTTACTTTTAAATTCATCTAGATGTGGCATTTACATTGAAAATATTCAGTTTACCCCCAAATATAAAGGACTAGAGACACAGACATTACTTTTCTAATTCATGGCATGGTCGTTTCTTTAAAACTCTTCAGGACAGATTCATACATTGAGGTCCCAAAAAGAGTTTATTATAAAGAACTCTCATTATTTAAGACAGTCTCCAAATAATGGATCACAGGAGAGTCTCCCTCTAATAAGTTTCTCTTTTAATACATCAGAAGCAAAAAATAATATCTCTTCTTGAATTATTAAAATTTATTTGGTCCCACACATTAGAACCAGTTTTGCAAAATCATGGAACAGGTATGAAAACAATCAGGACACATTCATTGCCACTCCAAGTTAGGAGAATGTCTACCTGCTCAGGAACAGAAAGTGAACGTCACTTCCTGCACTCTGCTCTAATATTCCTCATGTCACATGTCCTCAACTGGAAGGACATAAAGGTTGATGAAAACAAAAACAGCATTCCCCTGGTAGCTAAGCAAGGCAGAACTTTAGATACAAAATACAGTATGGAACTGGAGGTGATTATTTTCTCTTAAATTTAAGGGAACATAGTTCAAAGTTCAAAGGAAGAATCATTGATTCCTTCAACTAATATGATATTAATAACTGAAATTTATTTATCCCTTTCTTTTTATTTCTTGAGACAGGATGTAGCCCTTTTGCCAGGCTGGAGTGCAATGGCAGGATCACGCCTCGCAGTAGCCTTGACCTCCCTGTCTCAAGCGACCCTCCCGACTCAGCCTCCTGAGTAGCTGTGACTACAGGCACATATCATGATGCCCCGTTAATTTTTTACATTTTTTTTGTAGAAATGAGGTCTTGTTATGTTGCCTAGGCTGGTCTTGAGCTAAGCTTAAGTGATCTCGTTTCAGCCTCTCAAAGTGTTGGAATTACAGGCTTGAGCCACCGTACCTGGATAATGGACATTTCTTTGTTTGCTATTATGTTCCAAGCAGCGTCTTAAAGCCCTTATGCATTATCACCTCACGGGAGTAACTACATGTAAGTTAAGAGCCCACACTCCAGAGCCAGATCTCCAGGTTCACATTCCAGATCCACCATTCACTAGCAGTATGGCCTTGGACAAATTAATAAACCTCTATGTGCCTCAGTTTTTCAGCTGCAAAATGGAATTAATAATAAATTCTACTTGACAGGGTTATTATGTGTGTAATAGTGAACAACAGTTATAAAGCTCATATTGTTTCTCTTTTCTCCTAAATAATCTCGTTGAAGAGAAAGATTTTATATTTAACTATAGTTTATATTTAACTATAGTTATTTTTAATATAGTTTATATTTAAATATAGTTTATATTTAAATTTAAAGTTTAAATATAAATTTTATATTGTAAATATAAAGTTTATATTATATTTAAATATAGTTTATATTTAACTATTCTGATGATTCCTAGCATCATTATGTAGTAGGTTCCTAATAAAGATTTATTGTGTAGGTCAGAACTTCTGGTCACCTGTATTTGAAATGAAGAGCTAATTAAATTATAGGTTCCCAGGATCTACTATAAAGACAGTAAGTACCTGGGGCTAGACTTGAGAGGCTGCACATTTTAACCAGGCATTCCAACTCTCTGAGTTGCCTCAAAGTTTGAGATACACTGGTATAGTGAATGAATCTTTGTTTCATCTTCTATAAAATGTGAATTACTTTAATAGTATCTATCTTATAGGGTTGTTGAAAGAAGTAAATGACATACAGGAGATAGAAAATGCTTAACACAATGTTAGCAATTTTTACTACTAAATATTATGTTATTCCCTTGTCTGGAACACAGAATTTATGTCAAGAATACTAGGTGATAAGAGTAGAAAGGAAGGCTGATCCTAGATAGCTGAATGTTTTAAAGTCAGGTAGGAAGGAAAAACTCAGCTAACAAGGTCTAAACTACATGTTTTGATTGGGAAGGCAATATGATTATATCTTGCCAACAAATATATTAACACAGACAAAAGTCTACCTACTTAAAAATTGAAGAAAATGAGACTTCAAATTTACTTTTTTAAATGAATAACAATACTGTGCTGGAGAACAAATCAAATAATTACAAAGTATTTAGAATCTATCAATAAAATTACCTACTCAAAGAGAGCAAAAACAAATGATGTATATGTAAGTATCGATTCATAGTTATCTTTTTAATTAAAGATATCACATATTCATTTCCCTTAAAACAAACTACAGCAAACTCTAGGAATTTTCATATATATTGCATTGAATGACAAAGCTCTTTGCCATAAAACGCACCATAAACTCACTTCACATTCATCTTATGTCTTATTTTTCTCCCTTTCTCTTCCTACCTGCACAACTAAACACAGCACTTCTCTTCCTCATTCCTCATTACCTGGGGCTCACATTAAGTTTCAAGGAGGGTAAATAACTATTTAAATAACAACTGTTTAACAAATATATCTCTGAAAAAATTCCTTTGTGCGTGTGTGTTGCAGTCAAGTATTTTACTGATCATTTGTTTAAAGTTTGAGTTGGTTTTTCTGTACCTGCCATCAGCTACCTACCCACAGCATTTACTTATTTCTTCACTCAGTCTAATATATGTTCAACTGTAAACCATACAAGTAACAATCTCACTGGTGCAGCCACAGAAGGTGACCCAGATTACACAACACTGTGTGCTAATGCCAAGTTGTCTTGTTCAACGGCAGCTGCTCTATGCTTTGCCTTATTGATATTCAGATTCAACAGACACAAATCACATGGCCCCTTTGACAAGCACACACTCTCTCTGTCTTCGTTTTAAACGTGTTCAATAGCTACTGTCCTTCATAAACACACTGCTGGGGCCATTTGGTCTCCTCTGATTTTCCATCCTGCCATAGAACTGACAAGATTATCTCAGAAACATTGCTCTTGTTTCTATTTGGGGAAGTTTGTGGAAAATAATATCTTCATTTATAAAACAGAAACACATAACAGTAAAAGCCCATTTATCTGGTGAAAGAAACACTTTGAATCATTACTCTCTGGGAAACATTCAGACTATCTCCTTGATTATGAGAGCAAATGTTGCAATACAGAGTTATTTAAAAGTGAAGATAAATATATAGTACGTGGGAATAAAATGAAATATAGCTTATGAATAACTTCCTTTTAAAGGGTATCAATTTGTAAGCGCTAAATCTATTTTGTAAAAGTGTATACACAACAAAATATCTTCTCATCTATGTGACCATTTCATTCTCCAGCTCACTGCTACAAAGGTTACAAACAAAATTTCTGTACCTGAATACCTACTGGAAATCATAGAATCTTAAAATTGACTGTTCACATTAACTGGTATCACTGATTTCTTTAACACATGACACTTAAAAAAACAAACAAAAACTTCCTTTTTAGCATTGTATTTTATAGAACATGTAACATTATCCATTGTTTGTAAGAAACACAATAAGCCAGAAATAAACCAGGAAAAAATGCCCAAAGTGGGAAATGCTTACTTTTTATGTAGATGAGCAGTGAAAAACTGAGGTAGAAGATGAGAAGGTAGTTAATATTCTTAAGTGCCATGGTCTTATTTACAGAACATCCTCTGGTGTGTTGCTGGTGGTCTGGTCCCAGACCGGCTCCTGATCCCTGTCTGTCTCAGAGAGGAGCGGGTGCCTCAGAATCCCCAGGTGCCATCTCTGTCCCACCCCACTTACAGCTCCTTCACAGAAAACACAGGGACTTAGATTCAAAAAGCAGTTTGTGCTTCTTAGCATCACTTACACCAGAGGATGGGGTGATTTTTCAAACCTGGTGCAGATTTTTTCAGGCTGGATTGGATTCATTTCCCCCCTCAAGCCTTTGCTATGAATTTTTTTCTGTTAATGCTGTCTCCTCAAAAGGGCCTACATTAGGATAGTGTCTTCAATTGCTCTCAACAGATGGATTAATTTCTGATAACTGTCTTGCCACATAATTATGATCTGGCAACTTTTAATGGAATACCGTATGTTCTTGTATATTTACTTTCATCTTCAGAACACAATTCACAGACAAGTAATCTTTTCTGTTCATAAATTATATTCCCACGACTCAGATTTCTGTTGTTTATAAGTTGGGCCAAGACAGAAGAAAACTTAAACTACCGCATAAAATGAACAGAGTTCTGGAGATTATTCAGGGGCAGATCTTGTTCATAAGCCCAGAGCTCATTTTATTCTTGGTTCATGAAATTATATGCTCTGGGATTTCTTGAGCTTTTGTTTTACTATAATTGATGAATGTAAATGTGTTTGCTTATTTAAAAAAATACACTTGTTTTAAATACAACGATATTTTCTCAGATTAAAATGTTGAAGTCCTTAAAATTATATTTTTATTAGACACCATGAAAACATCCATTAATTAAAATCAGAATGCTTTATTTTCTAATTGATGTTAGTGCTAGTACAGAGCCTTTTCCCATTGTTAAAACTGTTCACTTTTACTCTTTAAAATGCAATTTCTATGGCTGATTTTTACAAAGCTTTATAAATCTGCCAGATGTTTAACAATATAACATATATTTTGAAGTCTTTATGTTTTCTGCCCACGTCTCTAATATCTTGATAGTCAGCTTAATGGTTTTTATTAACATTATTCTCTCATATACTCACATATTTACTTGCTAAAATAGGGTTTATCCTTTTAAAATTATTTAATTTTTATAGAATTCATGACAACTATTATTTTTAAAGATTTTTTCCTCCTCTCATGCAAATAATTTAACTTGGGCAATTTAACAATAAGAGCAAAAGAATTTCAGGTTACAGAAGCATTATTAACTCCCTACTCTAATCCCTGTGTTTTGTCAACTGGAGAATTGAGAAGCAGAGCAATTATTCTGTGTGCTCAGAGTCTGGTGGGTCACTATCAACATTAGGACCAGAGTCTTCCCATGATTTCTAGAATATTAGTTCTTCAATAAATCTTGTGAAGTCTCTTTTCATCTTTATTCCTATGTGTTCTTTCATGCCTTTTGCAACAATACCATTCTGGGACATCTACATACTGAACCAACTTGATCTCCATTCGTCCTAAAGAGGCCTCCACAATGAACCCCAAGACTAAGGAATTTATAACATGGAAGGACAATTGATAGGCTGGAAAAAAAAGTGAATAGACTCAGGTAAAGAATCTGATGGTATTAGAAAGCCTTCTGTTAGGGTGTGTTTATGAGTGTCACACAATCAAAGAAACAAAGAAAATTAGTTTTTCAAAAGACAAAAGTGTCAATGAAAATAAGTAGTTCAGAGAATATGTTATACAAAGAATGGTTATAGGAATTATATACATGGAATTTGAATATAAAAAATTAAGTGGATATAGCCATTATACAAATGAATCAATGGCTACCATGTGTCAGATTTGGGCTAGTCAGGAATTCCTTTAGAAAAAAGAAGTAGTATTTACGTTGATTTTCAAGCATAAGTATGGGTATGCTGTGGTCTGAATGGTTTCCCCGATTCCCAAATTCACATGTTGAAACCTAATCCCCAATGTGATAGTATTAAGAGGTGGAGAGTTTTGAAATGTGATTAGGCCTAACCTTCATGAAGGGGATTACTGCCCTTATAAAAGAAGCCTGAGGGAGTTTATTTGCCCCAGCACCACATGAGGACATACAGAAGGAACCTTCTAAGAGGAACAGGCCCTTGGCAGCTACCAAATTTGCTGGTACCTTGATGTTGCTCTTCTCAGTCTCTAAAATTATAAGAAATCAATTTCTGTCATTAAAAATTACCCAGTCTAAATTTTGTTATAGCAGCATGAACAAACTAGGGGTATAAGAAATAAATAGGGCAAGACAGAAGTGTAAGAATTTTACAGGAAAAGGATATATATATAGGAATAGAGGCCTAAAGTAGTTGGGCAAATCAAGAAACTAGAAATATTCTGATATTGCAGAAACATAGGTGTGAAGAGATATCAGGAAATAAGACTCAGCAAATCCACAAAATCAAGCAAGTTTAATTTTCAGTATGAGGAAAGCACACCATTAATAGGTTTTAAGTAGTGAATTCACATACTCAGAGTTGTGTTTAGAAAGATAAATCTAGCAGCAATGTAGCAATGGTTGGAAAAGGGCAGATGGAAAGCACAGAAACCAGTGAGAAAAGGATATTGCTGTTGTCCACAAGAGAGATGATAAGGGACTGAACTAAAGCAGAGACAGTGGGGATGATAAAACAAAACAAAACAGCAATAAACTAGATATATCTAAAGACATATAGAGAATAAGGCAACATGAAAACTAATTTTATCAGGTATTGAGTTTTGGCATTTGGGATATTATTAATGTCATTCATAAAAATGAAGAATATAGATAAGGGCACCTATACAAGAAACAGCAAAAACCATCCTTCCCAAGTAAGAAATATGTAAGTGAGCTCAACAGCAATAAAGTAAAATAACCAATTGAGATAGACAATTCTTGACTTTTGGAATGGAGAGAGAGAAAGAGAGAGAGAGAGAGAGAGAAGGGAGGGAGGGAAGGAACAAAGGAAAGAAAAGAAGGAAGGAAAAAGGAAGGAAAGAAGGAAGGAAGGAAGGAAGGAAGGACAAAAGGAAAGAAAAAAGCAAGAGGGAAGAAGGGAAGAAAGAAGGAAATAAAGAAAAGAGCAGTTCAGAAATAAGGAAATCAATGAGAACTGAGATGAAACTGAACTCTCATGTGGAAATGCTACAATTCACAGTTCACAAATAGTTCCCATGGAAGCCAACCTCTACCAAAGATGAGCTCACATAGCTTAAAACTATGAATCAAACTAGAAACCCACTGCCATGCCAGACATTGGACACAATGAATGGGAACATTCACACTCAAAAGATTCATGATAATGGAGCTAACTTAAGGGATTATAAAATAACACTTTGTTAAGATACAGAAAAAAAGTATCACAGAAAATAAGTGGTTGAGAAAACATGCTATACAAAGAATGCACTGTTCTGGCCGGGCGCGGTGCTCACACCTGTAATCCCAGCACTTTGGGAGGCCGAGGCGGGTGGATCACCTGAGGTCAGGAGATTGAGACCATCCTGGTCAACATGGGGAAACCCTGTCTCTACTAAAAAAATACAAAAGTTAGCCAGGCGTGGTAGCAGCCACCTGTAATCCTAGCTACTCAGGAGGCTGAGACATGAGAATCCCTTGAACCTGGGAGGTGGAGATTGCAGTGAGCCAAGATCATGCCACTGCATCCAGTCTGGCTGACAGAGTGAGACTTTGTCTCAACAAAAAGAAAGAAAGAAAGAAGAAAGAAAGAAAGAGAAAGAAAGAAAGAAAGAAAGAAAGAAAGAAAGAAAGAAAGAAAGGGAGAGAAAAGAAGAGAGAGAAAAAAGATGCACTGTTCTTATGTACTGTTCTTAAAAGAATGCACTGTTCTTATGTACTGTTCATGTACTGTTCATGAGTAAATTAGTACAACCTTTATGGAAAACAATAAGGAAATTACTCAAATGACTTAAAATAGAACTATCATTTGATCCAGTAATCCCATTACTGTGTAACTGCCCAAAAGAAAAGGAATCATTACATGAAAAAGATACCTGTACTTGTATGTTTAATGTAGTACTATTCACAACAGCAAAGAAATGTCCATCAATGGATGATTGGATAAAGAAAATATGGTCTATATATATATAACACAATGGAACACAATTCAGCCATAAAAAATGAAATCATGTCTTTTACAGCAACATGGATGGAACTGGAACCCATTATCTGAAGGAAAACAACTCAGACACAGAAAAACAAATAATGCATGTTCTCACTTACAAATGAGAGCTAAATAATGTGTACACATAGATGCAGAGTGTGAAATGATAGATGATGGAGACTTGGAAGGTTGAGCGGGTCGGAGGAGGGACAGATGATGACAAGTTACTTAACGGGTGTAAAGTACATTGGTGATGGATACACTAAAAGCCTAAACTTCACTGCTCTGCAATGTATCCATGTGACAAATTGTACTTGTGCCTTTTAAATATATGCAAATAAAAATTTTCAAGGGATAAAAAAATGCATTTATTTTATAAAACAAGAACAAGACATGATAAAAATGATTGGGCCTATTTGAAAATAAACTGAAGATAAATTCTAAAAATAAAAAAGTCATTAAAACTTTTTGAAAAATTCAACTAATAACTTAAATAGTAGATGACACTACAATAAACTAAACAGAAGATCTGAAGTTTTCTTTAGAAAAGATCAATGTGAGATAAGGAATTGGTGAAAAAGAATGAACAGTAAAGAGACATAGAATATAGAATAGAAAGTTGTATCTCAGAAGCGAGAAAAAAATTGCGAGAAGGTAAGTATCAAGAACTAATGGACTAGAGTTTTCAGATATGAAAAAATATGACTTCTCCAATTTAGAAAAACTCACTGAATCCCTAGGAAATATTACATTTAAAGTGCAACAAAATAATTACCACAAAAGCAAAAATTGACAATTGGGACCTAATTAAACCAAAGAGCTCTGCAAAGCAAAAGAAACTATCATCAGAGTGAACAATCTACAGAATGGGAGAAAATTTTTGCAAACTATGCATCCAACAAAGGTCCTGTAATTCTCCAGAATCTATAAGGAACTTAATCAGTTCAATAAGCAAAAAATAACCCATTAAAAAGTGGGCAAAATACATGAACAGACACTTCTCAAAAGAAGACATATAAGCAGCCAATAAACATGTAACAAAATGCTCAACATCACTGATCATCAGAGAAACGCAAATCAAAACTACAATGAGATGCCATCTCACACCAGTTCGAAAGAATATTTTTTTTAAAAGTCAAAAAACAACAGATGCTGGTGAGGCTGTAGATAAAGGGAACACTTACACACTGTTCATGGGAATGTAAATTAGTTCAGCCACTGTGAAAAGCCGTTTGAAGATTTCTCAAAGAACTTAAAACAGAAATACCATTTGATCTAGCAATACCATTTCTGGGTATATACCCAAAGGAAAATAAATCATTCTACAAAAAATACACATGCAACCATGTGTTCATTACAGCACTATTCACAATAGCAAAGACATGGAATCAACCTAGGGTCCCATCAACGGTGGATTGGATAAAGTAAATGTGATACATAAACAAGACGGAATACTTTGTAGCCATAAAAACAACAAAATCACATCCTTTGCAAGAACATGGATGCAGCTGCAGGCCATTATCCTAAGCGAAATGATGCAGGAAGAGAAAAATCAAATGCTGCATGTTCTCACTTATAAGTGGGAGCTAAATATTGGGTACACGTAGATATAAAGATGGGAACAATACACACTGAGGACTACTGCTGAGAAGAAGTGGGTGAAGGGCTGAAAACTACCTACTGGGTGCTATGCTCACTACCTGGGCAACGGGATCATTCATACCTCAAACCTCAGTGTCACACAATATACCCATGTAACATATCTGCACATGTGCCCCCAGTATCTAAAAGTTAAATTTTTTAAAAAAGAAAAATAAAAACATACAGTGCAGTAAAATAAGCAAAATAAAATCTTAATAGTCAGCATTTGTTGTTAAAGTCTAAAATGTTTACAGTAGAGCAATAATCAAAATGATGAAAGACTTTTCATGAATAAATTAAGTGCCATAAAGCAAAGAAAGTAGGAGAAGAGGAAGATTTATAGATAAAAATAGAAGGTACAGTTTTAAAATATATTCAATTTGAGCTGTCTATTCAAAACCAACTGAAGATCCAGAACATAGTAGGTTCTGGAGATACAATTTCAGAATGTAGGACAGCTGTTCTTATTGGTGGAAATTCTTGATGCCATATTAATGTACAAGCATTTGTTTGTTTTACACATACTATACAAAAGGTATATTATATATATACCTGCTATATATCAGACACTAGAGTCATCATCAGTAATTTGCATGTTTAAGACACGGTCATCACCCTTGTTGAATTAAACTCTAGTGAGCAGATGCAGTCTTCTGAGGAGAAAAGTACTTTATCTCCCAGTTCCTTGATATTCAAAATTGATTTAATAAGGGTACAAAGATTTATCTTCAGTTCAGTTCTGTGTATTATAGATTCTTTTACACACATCATCTCACTTAATACAGCATCTCCACAAAGTAGATTAAGTTAACCCTAATTGACAATGGTAAAAAAGAGATTGAGAGACCCAAGTTACCTGTATAATAAGTGCTGCAGTTCAGATTCACACCCAACTTGCTTATTCCAATGTTCTTCATTATTGTTATAATGGTATTTATTGATAATTACATAATTATAAATGTATTCTTGTGAAAAATCCCAAATATTAGGATAAAGGATCTTTGATGAACAACAATCCCACACTCCTCTCCAGAAGTAATCATTGTTATTTGTTAATGCATATCGTTTTATACCACTCTCTGCTACAGTTTGATAAATACATAGATGATGGATAGATGATGTATAGATGAATAGAGACATAAATATTATTTTGCTTCTTTTCTTAAATAATGGTATGATACTCTATGTATTATTCTGCAACTTGCTTTTCTCATTAAACAGTGTGTCTTGAAGATTTCGGCATTTAACTCACATACTTTTTAATGCCACATGGCATTTCATAGTATACATGTGCTATAGTTTAATGATTTCATTTTTCTAGGCATCAATGTTTCAAATTTACTTTATGTAAACAATGATTAATAAAAATCATTTTCACACCTGTTTGTTTAAATGCATAAGAGTTTCTCTAGGGTAAATGCTAAAATTTATCTTAGGCAAATACAGAAATTTTGAGGATAAATTTTGAAGCTGGCTATTGGGTATGTAAAGGAATATCATATTATTTATTCTATGTTTGTACAGATTTTTTAAAATTAATTA